AAAAAAAAAAAAAAAAAAAACATTTCCCATCATTTGATATTCCTCTTTTTATATAGATACGAATCATTCGATTTTCCTCCACCCTTTTTACTTTTCTTCGTCACAGGGTAATGGGAACAAGGTGAGTGACATGGACGTGCCGCTTGTCATGGTCTTTCATTTATCGTTGTCTTAATCCCAGGCCAAGGGATAGTCAAACGCCGCCACAAATGACCTTCCCTGGACTGGCTGTAGCCGGTGATATCGATCTTGCTCTTTCTCTAAACATAATTACAGATTTGATTAGCGTCTCTTCCGGGCAAATTCCTCTCCCTCCTTCTCCTGTTTATATATACTGGAGAAGGTTGGTGACTTCTCTTCCTCAAGAAAAAACTTCCTTACCCTTTTCTCCTTTTCTCTGTTTTCATCTTCCTGACTCCTGGGTATGTTCAAAAGCTACGCTACTCTGTTTTCTCTCTCCATCGTTTGACTTTGACCGCCCCCCGTTTCTATCTTCACTTCAGTTAATTTGTTCTTGATGGGTCTTTAAAGTTCTTGTCTTTCTATTCTGTGTTTTATTTTATTAAGCTCTGTCTCGATACTCCGTGTCTTGATTTTTGAGGGGGTTTAGCCAAAGGTTGTCTCTTTCTTGCAGGATTTGTCGCCTCAATGTGATAATTTTCAAAGTTGTTTGGCGTGTTGACTGTTGTCTTTCAGTTTTTCCTGTCCTTGAAATTCATCAATTAGAGATAGAATTTTATGGTGTTTTAGAATTTGGGTTGTGAGATAGTCATGGATCCTAACGAATTCTCTGATTATATAAATGATTTCAGAGTTGGAGAAGATGCAATCTTCCCTAATTCTGATCAGTTTACAAGTCTCACAGATGGGTTCAATTTCAATGTTCCATCTCCAGATCTTAGTTTCATGGATGTCCCATTGGTTCTCCCTAATGCAGAACCTGCTAGTTTTCCTGCATCTGTTTCTGTTAGCCCTGATGATGTCTTGTTCTCTTCAACCACGGGATGGAGTCCAGAGGGAGATTCTTCCTCTCCCAGCGATGATAGCGAAGCCTCAGATCCGGTTCTCAAGTATATAAGCCAGATTCTTATGGAGGAGAATATGCAGGATAAGCCCTGGGAAGATCCATTGGCTCTGCGCGAAACTGAACAATCACTGTATCAAGTTCTGAGAGAGCAGTATCCTCCACCAATTAATCAACCCCATCCTTTTGTGGAGAGTCCAGATACTATTATATCTGGTAGTAGCAATGATTATGTTAGCAATAACCATTCAAGTACTAGCCCCAGCACTAGTACTAGCACTGGGACCGACAATCCGTGGGTTTCTGATGTTGAAGATCATAGTCATCCACAATTACAAGTTCCTCTTCCTAGTGACCACCACTTCCAGCCCAATTCAAACCAACCGACTTCAAAGCTTTTTGTTAACTCCACCGATACCGTGGGTAATGGGCTCATGGGATCCGCTACAACTGAATATATAGTTCAGAATATGTTCACTGACATGGAATCTGTCTTGCAGTTCCAGAGAGGATTTGAGGAAGCTAGCAAGTTCCTTCCCAGAACTGACCAACTGATTATTGATGTAAAGAGTAATACATTTGCTCCCAATCAAAAGGAGGGGAAGAATGAAAAGCAGCAATCACCTGATGGGTCGAGGGGTAGAAAGAATCATGAACGGGAGGACGGAGATTTAGAGGAAGGGAGGAGTACCAAGCAGTCAGCAGTTTATGTGGAAGAGGATGAGCTATCCGAGTTGTTTGACAAGGTACTGCTCTATAATTGTAAGCCTGACAATTGTGAAGCTGCTAAGCATGAAGAAAGCGGAGCCCTGCAGAAAAATGGACAACCAAAGGAATCTAGTGGCGGAAAATCCCGTTCAAAAAGACGGGACAAGACGAAGGAAACAATTGACTTAAGAAATCTCCTGGTTCTCTGTGCACAAGCTGTCTCTTCTTTTGATCGGAGGACTGCTGGTGAGCTACTAAAGCAGATTAGGGAGCACTCTTCCCCTTTTGGTGATGGGTCTCAGAGACTAGCCCATTACTTTGCCAACGGCCTTGAGGCACGCTTGGATGGGAGTGGAACTAGAACTCCAAATTTTTTCGGTTCCCTAACTTCCAAGAAGATGACAGCTGCTGATGGATTGAAAGCTCATAAAGTTCTCTTAACAGCTTGTCCATTTAAGAAGTTATCCTTTGTCTTTGCCAACAAAATGATCTGCAAAATGGCTGAGAAGGCAACTGCTCTTCATATTGTAGACTTTGGTATCCTTTTTGGTTTCCAGTGGCCACTTCTTATTCAGTTTCTTTCCATGAGAGCTGGTGGACCTCCAAAGCTACGCATTACAGGAATAGAGCTTCCCCAGCGTGGCTTAAGGCCGGCCGAAAGAATTGAGGAGACTGGTCGTCGTTTGAAAAGGTATTGCGAGCGCTTTAATGTTCCTTTTGAGTACAACTCCATGGCAGTGCAGAACTGGGAAACTATCCGACTGGAGGACCTCAAGATTGATAGGAATGAGATGCTTGCAGTGAACAATCTTGGCCGGTTCGAGAGTCTCCTTGATGAGACGACAGAAGTGGACTGTCCAAGGAATGATGTTCTAAAATTAATCAGGAGTATGAACCCTGATATTTTTGTCCATTTCGGAGTTAGTGGGTCTTACAATGCTCCCTTCTTTGTTACGAGGTTCCGAGAGGCTCTTTTCCATTTCTCTGCAATGTATGACATATTTGATAGTACCCTACCCCGTGAAGAGCCTACAAGGTTGATGATTGAAAGCGAGTTTTATGGGCGCGAGGTAATGAATGTTGTAGCATGTGAGGGTTCAGAGAGGGTTCAGAGGCCAGAGACATATAAGCAGTGGCAGGTTCGAAATATAAGGGCAGGGTTCAAGCCACTGCCAGTGGACCAGGAACTAATGCAGAAGTTAAGGCACAAATTGAAGACTCACTACCACAACGATTTTGTAATTGACCAGGACGGTCACTCGATGCTGCAAGGATGGAAGGGCAGGATTCTTTATGCTTCCTCCTGTTGGGTACCTGCCGAGGACCCTAACCACCATGCTAAGATCAGAAACTCTTGAGATTGTTTCAGGACTAAACAGGCCATGTTAATTTACAAAAAGAATTAAGGTAAGCCTTATTCATAATCTTCAGTTTATTCTCTATTTATGACATTAACTTGGTTTTTAATTTATTCAAAGCAGCAAATTAAATGGGCTAATTTTGCTGCTCTTTGTTTACAGATCATACATGGTGCACTGTGCTTTATTCTCCAAGAACCTCATCGTGTTCGAAGAATTGAAGTATCAGGCTTTGATTACCAAATATTCTGTACATTAACTTGTGCTTTTAATACATCTATGGTGTAGATGTAATGTCATCCTCTAATCGTAGCACTTTGGTGAAAAATCACTGAGATTGTGATCACAATGTCTAGTGGCTTTTCCAATCTATGCTTTTAATGTGGGCATATTTTGCAGGTTTTTTTCTCTGTTTTACCTGTAAGCTAATAATGAAATATGTTCATTTTGAGACCTTAAACTTGTTTTAATTTTTTCAATTTACTGATATTATATATAACTGATATCATGTTAGCTTTGTAAGATATATACGTATGTGTATCCTACAAATCCTGATTTAGAAGCATTTGGATGTTGAATTTCTTTAAAGGGAAATTTAGAGCCCATCAATATCATTCATAATGGATACATACAGAGATGCAACCTAATGGCAATGTCCTTTTCCATGAGTCCGTACTTTTATCTATTAGAGCCTAAGAGTGGTGATCACAGAATTCACAGTGATTCTGTTCTGTCCATGAGCCTGTTATGAGTTTGATATGCGTTATGCTTTCTTTTTCTGTTTCTTTTTGAAAAATGGGAAATACGGAGATGGGAAAATACACGGGTTCAAAAAAGGAGGGTTCTATTCATTTTAAGTAGAGCACCCCTAATATCTGTAAGGAATGTTTAACATTTTCCTAACATTCCTATCAGTTTTAGAACATGTTTAGGTCTATTTAACCGTTTAGAAAGAAATTACTTTTAAAGTGTTCAAAATTTAATTTAGAATACTTTAACTATAATTTTAAAAAAAAAAGGAAGAAAAAAGTCTTTCTTTTTTTAAAGAAAAACAAAAATTGAAAGTAATAAATGTTGTAGTTGTTCAATTATTTAAAGGAAGTGAAACTACGAAGGATGCTTTTTTTTTTTTTCCATATTTGTCTTCTTCGATCATGTTGATGAATTTAATATTTTGCTTGATTTTATATAATTTTTATTATTTATGCCAGAAAGGATTGAATTGGAAGAAATTATAACCCTTAAGACCAAACTGAAGGGATCAGAACTCTGAGAAATAAAGACCTCAGAAAGCAGAAGTTAGGGACCAGTACTGTGATTTTGCCATTAAACAAAATTGACTTTCGGCCCCAAAGTCCGACACGGACGCTTTGTTCACGGATTTAGTAAAGTTGTCGGCACTTTATCTTGACGTGTCAATCCCTTTAAGCAATTTTCTGCATTTTCTTAGACGCGCGTCTCACCTCTATTTTAATTAGATTTTGAAAATAATACTTTTAAATATTAAGAGAAATATTAATTTAAAATTATATTATTTTAATAAATATTTATTAAAAAATTAAAATATATTATTTTTAAAGTATAAATTAAGATATTTTTTTTATTTTTTCTCTTTTTAATTTTTTTAAAAATAAACGAATAAATAAATACTGATTCTTTAGATATTTTATGCCAATGAATACTTATTCAAGATCAAAATTGTGGAGATTTTTGAAGGAGTTTTTTTGCGTTCTTTGAGAGATTTTTTTTAAACTTTAATTTTTAGATTTTTAAAGACAAAATTAAAAGTAACAAGAACTCTTAATGATAATAAATGAATAAATTAATAAAGCCAACTTTTTCAAATTAAATCTTGTTTTTCATGAGTTTTGTGTTTATTTTGGCATGAATTATTGGTTTATAACAATTAGTTCAAATTCTTTTTTTTTTTTTGAACTAGTCTACTAAAGGTAGCCTAAATGCCTAATTAATTTAATATAAAGTTTTATGATTTATATACTTTTAAGATTTTTATTTTATAGTAAATATATATTATTATTTTTAATACTTAATGAATAAAAGTTTAGTGTTTTTATCCAAAGGAAATTTTATCTAATAATTTCTAATAATATACAATATAAAATGAATGAAATTCAAAGATAAACAATATAATTTATGCGGTATTATTAATAAGTAAAATCAAAAGTTTCTATATAATATATTTTTATTTATTTATAAATTCATATAAAAATTAAATTAATAGATAAAGATAAATTTAATATGAGTTGAAAAAA